GTTTGCCATGGGCTGGCCCCGTGGCATAGTGGTTAAGTGCGTGCACTCCACTGCTGGCGGCCCAGGTTCAGATCCCGGGTGCGCACTGAGGCACCACTTGTCAGGCCATGCTGTTGCGACATCCCATATAAAGTGGAGGAAGACAGGCACAGATGTTAGCCCAGCGCCAGTCTTCCTCAGCAAAAAGAGGAGGATTGGCATGGATGTTAGCTCAGGGCTGATCTTCCTCACAAAAAAAAAAAAAATTTTATTCCTGAGGTCATTGAACTGTCTCTCTGAGTTTTCTTGTAACTCACTGAGTTTCTTCATGTCAGCTATTTTGAATTCTCTGTCAGTTAGATCGCAATCTTCTGTGACTTCAAGTTTGGTCTTGGGAGAGTGGTCATTTTTTTTGTGTTCTACCATGTTACTATAGTTCTTCGTGGTGTTTGATGAGTTGATCCTCTGCTGGTGCATTTGTGGTAGTAATCCCCTTTCTTATTTGGGTAAGGCTTTGTTTACTTTGATTCTGAGCTGCTTCTGGTAGTATTTGAGAGCCTGCACTTTCCACCCTCCACGGCCTCTGCCAGAGGCATCTCAGTGCCCTCTTGTGCTGCTTGTGCCTCCAAGGTTGCTGCTGCCTTGCTGCTTACGATGTCACTGCAGTCGTAGGTGTTGCCACCAGGGTCACCACATTGGGAGCACTTCTGCTGCTTCCGGGGTTGCCTCAGTCTCATGTTCTCCCACTGCTCTCTGTGGGCTCAGGTGCTGCTGCCACCTGCACCACCTTCACTGCTGCTCCCGGGTTATCTGAGGGGTGCTGGCAGTACTGCTGCCAGGGGTTCTGGGTTTATGGGTGTTGCTGCACTGACAGGGTCCCAGGGTCTTGTATGCGGCCCCTGCTGTTGGTAGGGCTGATTTGGGAGTGCCACCAATGGAGGCTGGGTTACAGGTACTGCTGTGGCTCCTGAAGCCTCAGGTCACAGGTGCCACCTGCTACTGCTGGGGGAGGGGCAGAGGCTGAGCCATGAACATCACTGCTACTCCTGCAGCCTCTGGTTTCTGGCTCCGATGCACTTTTTGAAACCTCAGGTCAGGGCACCACCATCCCTGCCAGAATATCTCTGTTTTAGATGCAGCTCCTGCTGTTGGAAAGACTGGGGTTGGAGTTGCTGCTGCCTGGAGGGGCTGGGTTGCTGGCACCACGGTGTTTCCTGAAGTCTCAGGTCGTGGGTGCCACCCACCACCCCTGGGGGAGGAGCAGAGGCTAAGCCACAAGTGCCATTGCTGCTCCTACAGCCTCTGGTTCCCAGCACCGGTGTGCTTTTAGAAACCTCAGGGCAGGGCACCACCACCACTGCTGGGGGTATCTGTGTTTTGGATCACCACCGCACCCCTAGTTCCACTGCCTCCCAGAGGTCCGGTCCACCACCTTCAGATGATAGATGCATGCTTCTCTCAGGTGTTCTGCTGTGCTGTGCAGGGAGTCTTTTGCTGGTGAGTGGATTTCCAACTGGTTGTAACTTAGAGGGGAGAGACAAAGGGAACGACTCACTCCACCATGATGCTGATGTCACCTCCAAAGGTGCCCCCATTCTTAACCACTACATTCTTAACCACGACATTTGCCCTTTTCCCATTCAACAGCCCTTTCGAACAAGTACATTTAAAATGACTAGACATTTCACCAAAAGGCTGTTTGTTGTTTTCTAAGCAGATCTCCATGTAATATCTAAATACACCTGGTATGGCAGACACTCAATAAATATCTGCTGAATGAATGAATATGCAATAGGAACAAATATTCCAAATGGTTCCAGAAATACATATCTGTAGAATTTGGAAATGAAAGCAATACATAAAAGTTTCCTAAGAGTTTCTTAGCAGTTATAATTACTTCTTTTGATTATTTGAAGTTATTTCTTATCTAGCCCTTGATATTTATGCTAAAAGAAATGGGAAACTATAGGTTTCATTTAAGTGAGTCAGAGGCCAAGAGTGACATGATCAGATTTCCATTGTGAAAAGACCATTATGACTACAGTGTGAAGAACGGATGAGTGAGGGACAGAGTAGATGTAGAGAGATCAGTGATGATGTTATACCAAGAAAAACTTCGATCAGCTTAGACAAGTAGTGAAGTAGATGAGTGTCAGAGGTATTTGGGAAGGAAAATGGCTGGTAATTGGGGTGGGGGGGAAGGAGGGTAAGGAAAATATCAAAAGTAACTCCTAAATTTCCAGCTTTGTGTAGACTGAAAAGATAAGATAGATTACTCTGGAAGAGGACCAAGTTTATGAAGGAATACATATAAATTGGAACTCAAACATATGAAACATCCAATGAAAATGTTTAGTAGGCAGGTGGATAATTGGGTTCTGGAAGCAAATATGGGCAGAGGGTTAGAAAAGAAATGCATACTTGGAAGTCTTAAGTGTGTAAACAGTAATCAGAATCCTGGAACAATGCTCCTGGATCTTTACCATCTTATCAGGTAGACATAGAGGTCTACCAGTACTTTACCAACCCATTGCTTTATAGTTTAGATGAGAAGCAAGAAGCATAGGAAAAGGAGATGCCAGGTAGACAGGAAGAATGGAAGAGCACCCACTGCTCATTCCCTTTCCCCATTACATCCTCTTTCCCCTTCTTGTTTTGCTTCTCCCTGAGATCTAACATCTTAAGGTAAGGTCATTTGCCGAAAATTGGAGGTGACGGGATGCAAGCAGCAGCATATAGGGATAATAGGGAAGATCTGAAGTTACAGCAGAGAGTAAATATGGTCACATGCCATCAGCCTCAAAGGATTGGAGATTTTGTAAGAGAAGTACAGAGGGGGGAGGTGAAAAGGACACCAACTCTACTCACATCTAGATCCTAAGGAATGTGGAGTTGGAAAGAATAAATTAACCCCATTTGAGATGACTGATAGAGAGGGAGCCTCCTCTGGCAAGACGTAATTTTCACTTAGGTAAAGGAGGTACAAGAAATGTTCAGAGGGCTGTATTATAGGCCATCAATAGAAGCCATCAGGGGCAAACCGCCTCATCTTCCTGCTATGACACCTACACATTGTATGTATCTACCCAGTGTTTGTAGAGGAGGAGCACTATGAGAGTATTGCACAAAGATTGAGAATATGACTATTAAATACCTGCCATATATAAACAATATAAAATGCTTCTGTCCTTCAAGAAGTATATAATCTGAAACGGGAAAGATGATGTAAATATCTACAAAGATAAATAATGAAAGAGATAAACGGCAATAAAACAATGTAAATAGTGGTACCAGTAGTAAATATTTAATTGCTTGATAATACTAGAAAATTCAGGGCTTCTTTGATATTAGAAGGTTCCAGTTCAAATCCTAGCTCTGCCACGTACTTATAAATAAGCCTCAACTGTCTCATTTGTGAAATGCTGTGATGACCAAATGAGATGACATATGGAAAGTGTTTAGCACAATTCCTGCACATGATAAGCACTCAATAAATAGAGGCTTTACTATTACTAATGACAATAAAATGGAATTCCTAACTAGGTTGTAAGCTTTTTAAGATAAAGATCATTAAAAAAGTGTTTGTTATATTGTACAGTGTTCAGACTGCTATATAAATAGTAGTGTCTAACATTTATCAACATAAATATTTTCTCAAAAATATTGGTTGTAAATATGCTGTATTCTTCCCTCTTTCTCATGGAACTCATAGCTTGGTAATGGTATATACAACTTTCTATTAGTTATTTAATATAGAGTTTTAAAAATATTATTCATACTGTCTCTTTCCAAACTAGTTACTTTAAAATTTCTGAATCATGAATAAATTGAAGACAAGGACAATGGCTTATTCTTGTTTATAAAACCAAACACATCTTTCATGATCCTTTGTACAGCTAAACAATGACAATGAATTTATGTAAATAAAGGAAAAAAACAGAACGGCTGAATTGTATGAAGTGTATAGATCATTAGTGCATAAATTAAAGAGACTATAGTATGTCAATGACAAAATTAAGCATTTGCCATTCTTGTTACTTCTATTCAAGGGAAAGACAGAAATAGGATATCTATAAAAATTCTAATCTAAGGGAATTATAAATAAGGGCCCTATAATTGGAAGATCCATGGGTTATACTTGAGCCCAGAGAGACACAGATGATGAAAGATATTTCGAACCTGGAAAAATCAGCATGTCGATTTTACAACATAGAAACTTCAGGTGTATATAAGCACTACAACCTTGTTCACTGAGAGAGACATATCTGAGAGAGTGAATACAGAAACCTAATACGTCATAGAGAAGAGCAGCATGCCACTCTGTCTCAGAAAGCAATCTGTCCCAAAGCCTCATGGAGAGGGGAGAGTTACTACTGACTACTCCTCATTACAAATCCTTTCATCTTTCTTCCTTAGCATCACAAATCTCTCTTTGCTCTTCTCTCTGCTCGTCTGACTGCTTTATCTCAATCTTTCAGCAGATTTCTCTTCTTTCACCCATCCCATAAATGTAGTTAATGTCTTCTCACTCCATACGTACCCCAGGCAATTGCATCTATTCTCCAGGCTTTAACTACCATCCATTTGCTGATGACTCTTAAATCTACATCTCCAGTTGAAATTTCTCATGAGCTCCAGCTCTGTTAATCAACTACATATTATTACATATTTCTTCACTAATATCTCAAATCCAACATGCCTAAAACTGAACTCATTATATTCTCTTCCAAATCTGCTAACATTAGTACCACCATCTATCCAGTTACTGAAATCAGAAATTTGGGACACATCCTAGACTCTCTTTTCTTCTTTACACCCCAACTACCAATCAATTACAAGCAAGTTCAAAGAAGGTATAAATCTTTAATGGCAAACTATTCACAAATATAAACGTGAATAAATTTTTCTGTGATATTATGAAACTATTAAGTACAGTGGAAAATGTAATTTACTAAGTGGTAGACAGAAGCATACATTAAGATCAATCAGGTTTTAGAATTGATGAAAAATATTTTTATTACCTTTCCCAGTTGTAGAGATTAATATTGATCTGGATAGCTTGATAAACAAGACCAGCCTGAAGAAGTACTATTTCAGCCTCCTGTATGTTCCCACTAAACATTAATATGTGGGCCATTTTTGATTCTTTAGATGGAAGATCTTTTATAAAATTGATGTATTGAACTTTATCAATCTAAAAAAAAATATTTGAAGTGGATAGTAACAAAAATAAATACAACAAATTATGGTAAGAAAAACACACAAACATATACACATGAGTAAATATCATTTACTTCACCAATCGCTGCGTAGGCTATTTCTGCAGTAGTCATATCTCGATTAGCAAGTGCCATAGCAGCTAGGCAAGCCCACATGGTTTGCTCCTAAAGTGAAATATGAGAACAATTGTTTTAACTACATAGCTGAAATGCCTTAAAATAAACAGTGATTTAAAATACAATAAAATTATATTTTAATGAAAAATAAAAAATTACTGATCATGGCACTGAAAAAACTAATAATTTAATAAATCAATGATGTGCAAATTTCATTGTGGCTACTTTGTTAAAATACATAGAGAACTTCTTTTGAATAAAATTTTTTGAAAATTTTTATTTCTAATTACCAAAGATTTATTTCTGAACTTACGATATACTTTTAGGATAACTAAAAGTTATAACTCTCCAGTCTTTTTGACGAGATATGAAAGAATGTAATTCACAGGGAACCAGAAAAATAGTGAGGTTCTCAGTCAATGTTATTATAGCAAATTGCCGTCAACAACCCATTGTAAGGAAAAGCATCTAGAAGTCATTTCACAAATGTGTATTCTAAGGGATGTTAACCAATGTAAAATAAAACAGTTCTGTGGTCAAATATGTTTGGAAAAAACTGTATTCACCAAGTTGGGAAATGCTGACCTAAAGTATAGATTCTTAACCTTGGCTGTACAAATCATCTAAGGAACTTAAAAAATATTCCCAGCCTCATCCCAGATCTAATAAATTAGAATCTCTGTGAGGGTAGAACTTGGGAATCTGACTTTTAAAAAAAGTTCCACACAAGATTTTTATATGAGCCAGTATGGAGAAACAACTCATTTAAATTATAGCTTCTTCAGAGAATAAATCACACAGCAACATCTATCCCCCTGTACTGCTCATGTCTTCACTTACTAAAAAAAAGGTGATCCCATTTGCAATTTTTCCAGCCCTTAGCTGGTATCATTTCTCATCTTGCACAAAGATATTGTGTAAACTAATACACAATACACAACTATGGATCTGAAATGTAAAGTACCTTAACAAAGCGACAAAGTCTTACGGCATCTTCCCATTTTGAACTGCTTACGTATTCATGGAGGATGGCAGGATATGGTGATATGCTGATGTGAAACAGCGAGCCATCAGCTCTTCTTATAGTTACCTGATTTCCAACAAAACTCACAATATGGGGATTTTTACTAAATTCACTGTTGAAAAAAAGCAAAGTGCAATTTATATTCTGAGTAAAACTTTTCATATGTATTAAATTTGGGGAATTGACTCCTGACATACATATGAAGTCTCCAACCTCCAAAATGCACCCCCAGAAAAGTTAACTCCAGGGAGAATGTATATATTCAAATAAACATCTGAATCTAACTTGCTATACACACTTGGAGCAAAATATACAGTTTAACATGGCGAAAATTATTACGTCTTTGAGAACTATGCCTAAAAGCATTTGAAACGTCCTTTTTTCCTAAGTCTTAAGGCAAATCACACAAATGATTAAATCACTTAGCTTCAGCTTTTAAAAGTATGAACACTGAAAATTAAGCTGATTCCAAGATTATTTTCTCATAATAAAAAAGAGTTGAACTTTAAGTAAAGAGATTAACTTCTCTTCATTAAATTAAATACTTTTAAATTGATGCCTCTGGTTTTGCTAAGGTTGTGAACTTGAATATTAAAAATGAACTCAAAGTATATTTGAAAGTTAAGCTAAGGTTTGGAGTTGAGAAGCCTTTGTATTCCTATTTTGTCAAGGGTAAGAGATCTCCTTGCTATTTCTTAGAGAATTTAGGAACATAAATGCATTTAATATTCTGAAGAATATAAAATTTTTTTTAAAAACTTTTCAGCAACCTTATATATATTTTTTCTATCTTTAATATTAATGTAATAATTCAACTCTAGAGACACATACATTCCTGAAAGTCTTAGGGTCAATGATAATCTGGGACAGAATAAAGGTTGTCATAAGGTGGTGTATCACTGAAAAAATTTAAGAGTGCCTGTATTAAAATCACTAAACCATATTGAAAAAAACTACCTGAGTTACCATTAAACAACATTAACCTTGAAAACTATGTTCATATAAGAAAAATTGTATTAATATAAGGAACAAATAAATAAATATAATAGTATTATACGACACTTTCAACTTGATTCCATCACTTAAATCTCATTAAGCTAGCTTTAGCTGAACAGTTTACTTAGTTGACTGAGTAAAGTGCAAGATACCTTGCAGGACTGAAAGGAGAGGCAAAAACACGACACTCTATTAGAGTTTTAGTTACCACAATAAACAATTCTATGCAGTAAAATGTTACCTTGCATCCCTTTCATATAATGTTTTAGGCAAAATGTCTCTGTCCACATAAACTGTATTAGGGTAATACCACACTGTAAATCGAGTATCTTGAAGTCCACAAAGGATGTTGCATGTATCACTCCACGCCAAAGTATGCACCATTGCTCCTTATTTTAAAAAGAATGTTAATGTACTCTTAGTTCCACTATAAAAGTATTAAAAACACATATTTTAAATCAGCTGACATAGAAGACCCCACCTAATTTCTGGTAGGTATGAGTCTATTTTCTGATCGGATAATGGTGAAAACACATGCAAAAACTCACATAAGATTTTATGGAAATATCTGAATATTTTACCCAGAACTATTATATTTTTAATTTGCAAGTCTTTCTTTCAATGCCAATTTAGCTGTAGCAGCTAAAGACTTGCTATTAAAATGGAGTTAAGTAGCTAAGAAATGTTATGAGACCAAAGCATTATTCACAGATTCATTCAAGCAAGTAAGCTATTTAGTATAATATATGACAGATCTAAGAAAACTGAAAGTAATCAAAATTTTAAATATATTACAATTACTTTACCAAGTTTGGTAATTTGTTCTTCCTTCCCAAATCGTTTCACTGAAGTGATAAAGAGATCTCTATTTTTATCAATGAAAGCAATTTTTCTATCATTGGTAAGTCCCTTTTGATCCAGAGCAATTTCTAAAACTTCATTCTAAAATTTTAAAAAATGAAAATACTGGATTAGTTTTAGCTCTTGACATCAGATCATTTTAATTATAAGAATATTTATTTATTAAGGATCAATTAAGTATCACTCCCCAACTTACAATGATGAAATGTCCCTGTTAAATAATTTTAAACTGCTAATATACTAATAATTCAAAAGCCAGAGTATAGTTACTTTTTTTTTTATTTACAGGGGAAAGATGCCCCTTAAAACACTATAAAATAATGTATATTTTTGAACTCTGTAAGCTGAGAACCACTTCCATCTGTCTTCCTGTCCTTCCGGTAGTAGACAGGGTGAAAAGGATGAGTCAAATCTGGGTATCACATGAGAGATCTACTTTGATTAATAAGTTCCTCATGCCAAAATTTATTCTAAGTAGATTGCCTGTATTTTAAAGATCTGTAAGAATAGATTTATCTTAGGGACTATCTTATGTTTTTAGAGCCTTAAATTTTACAGATTCTTTCACATTCATTTCCTATGAAACCAGGAAACAATCTTGTGAGGTAGGTATTATTATACTTACTCTGCAGATGTTAAGACTGAGATCCATAGCCATTAAGTAATTTTGCTCAGAAAAAGATGGTAACAAGCATATCTAGAATTTACAACCCAGACTTCTGACCACAAATTAGTGCTCTCTCCACAATAACAAAGTATTTTTGGCATATTGCATTAATCTGTTACACTATTATACTAGCTAGTGAAATAAATTTCTTTATAACTTGGAAATGGTTCAGTGTGGATTCATTTCAATTCAATCCAAGAGGGATTTATTTACTGCTTACTATGTCTGAAGACTTGCTAGGATCTGTGAATTCAACAAAAATCGTGATCATACCACCAAGTTATTGTATCTAAGTGTACTATCACAATACCTTTAAAATAAAAAAACAAAACACACATATACCTTTATCCAAGTTGATGGATCAGGATCAGCCATATACCAGTTCATAACACATTTTAAAAAAAATTCTTCTCTACGGTATTACAGAACACCATAATTTGTATTTTAAGGAAAAAAAGAATTTTGTTCCATCTATATCAAGGTATGAAAGAAATATAACCATAGGTATTTTCTTTATTTTATTTTATTTTATTTTTTTGTGTGCGGAAGATCAGCCCTGAGCTAACATCCGTGCTAATCCTCCTCTTTTTGCTGTGGAAGACCAGCCCTGAGCTAACATCTATTGCCAATCCTCCCCCTTTTTTTTTTTCTCCCCAAAGCCCCAGTGGATAGTCGTGTGTCATAGCTGCACATCCTTCTAGTTGCTGTATGTGGGATGCGGCCTCAGCATGGCCGGAGAAGCGGTGCATTGGTGCGCGCCCGGGATACGAACACGGGCCGCCAATAGCCGAGTGCACACACTTAACCGCTAAGCCACGGGGCCGGCCCTCTAGGTATTTTCAAAATGGAAACTTTTCAGAGAAACTGATCTTTACAATAAAGAACTGCTTATCACCACCATCAAAAGTACCTAGCATATTTTGTTAAACACTGTTAAACAGACAGGATTCTCCTCTCTAAGAAATTCAAAATCAAAGATGGACAATAATAATGCCTATGTACATAGTGGGGCAGAGTTTTCCTCCTTCCCATTCCCTCTTCAGTCAGCAGGGACTCCCCACTTTCCTCTTGTCCAGTTCTACCATGTCCACTTCTGTTCTGCTCCTTCTGGGTCACTCACTGCAACAGGACATGAAAGCAGCTTCAAGTTCATGTGAGCCTTCTTCCTTGCCTTACACTAATATTCATTTAATGAAAGACAAACTTGAGTTCCAGTTTTGGCTCTGTTATTCACTTGGGAAGACCTTGGGTTTTAGTATCTTCATATATAAAATAAAATAGATTAAGTGATTTTTTTCTATTATTCTACAGAATGTGAAATTTTAAAATCCTTTTTATTATATACAAGGAAAAGAGATAAAAATGTCCTGTGTAGCTGAGTGAAGTGTGAGACGATGAAGTCACCTCCATTCTTATAATAATGAAATTGTAAATTTCTTACATTTAGGAAAAGTGTTCTGGAAAAAGAATGATCATATTAAAAGAAATGTTTATTAAATGACTCCCATTTCAATCCTACTAACAAAAATAATGACTGCATCTTAAAAAGCTGAGAAATTTATTGCCTTTTATATGCTTAATCCTACTGAAAAAGAAAAATTCTGCTTACATAGCCTTGATTTTTAAATGATTATAATGGAGAGATTGTGGAGAAACAGGCATCTCATGTGTTACTAGTGGGAACATAAATTGATACAATCTCTTTGTAAGAGAACTTGACAACACTTATTAAAATTACAAATGCTCATATCCTTTGACCCTGCAACATTTCAAGAATTTATCCCACAGATACGGTAACACATGTGCAAGAAGATATACATGCAAGGTAAGTCATCTTGGCAATAATGTAACAGCAAAAGACTGGAAACAACTTAAATGTCCATCATTCGGGCACAGGCTGAATAAATTCTGATAGATCCATAAAATGTTGTACTATATGGTGGGGGGGGAATAAAGGACTGGGAAAGTACTTTATGTACTGATAGGGAAAAAAGTCTCCAGAAATAGAGTGTTGTTGTGTGAGAAAAGCAAGGTACAGAGTTGTATGTTACATTTTTGAAAAGAGGGAGAAAAGAACATGTATGGATTTTGTTCATATATGCAGTAAAAATCTCTGGAAAGATACAAAGAGATTAATAATGGTGGTTACTTATTTGGTGGAAAGGAACTGTACTGATGAGGAACAGATATAGTAGGGAGACTTTCCACTGTATACATTTCTATGCTTTTTCATTTCTGAACCACATGAATGTATTATTATTCAAATTTAAACTAATAATTACAAAAGAAGATTAATTACAAAAAGAAGAAAATAAAATATAAAGTAATACTTTACTAGCAGCACTGAACAATAAAGTTAAATGCATCTTTAGACCATAATATATCACTTATTAGAAGGATAATTCAATACAATGGGCTCCTTTATTTTAAAGATTTTATTTATTTTATCTTTTCCCCCCAAAGCCCCAGTGGATAGTTGTATGTCATAGCTGCACATCCTTCTAGTTGCTGTATGTGGGACTCGGCCCCAGGATGAACGGAGAAGCGGTGCCTCAGTGCGCGCCCGGGATCCGAACCCGGGCCGCCAGCATCGGAGCGCGCTCACTTAACCACCAAGCCACGGGGCCGGCCCTGGGCTCCTTTATTTTAAGGCTAAAAATCAGAAACCAATAAACAATTCACAATTCAGGGTCTTTTTGTGCTTCTATAGAATTTTTTTTTTTCAGTTTAACTACAGTCTTAAAACCTAAAGAAAATGCTGGCTAAGAACAGGTCAGTGGGAAAACTGCAACCTGTTTAGAAACATAAATATAAATATAAACACATTTTTATTTATTAATAGGTGCTAAAAGTTTAACCAAGATAGAACATTATATTGAAAAGCATTATAGAGCCTGGAGAATAGATATATGAGTCAGATTCTTTATTCAATTAATTTCCAAATATAGCTTCCTATGACAGAGTTTACTAGTGCTTAGTCTTTAATTATGACATTTTTAGGTAAAATACGCTCTGTAGAATGCACACTTGTTTTAAATTAAAACTAATTTCTATGTTTTCCTCCTTACAATGAAAACATTAATTTTAAAAATGAAGTAAATAAATAGTGGCTATTTATATTACAAATAGCTAATGTCCATTACCTTATGAGAAAGAAGCTTCCCATCACCTAATGGTTTTCCAGTTGATGCCTCAAAAAGAAAGATTACTTGAAAAAAAAGTAAAGCATTAGTTAATGTATTATATTAGAATTTTTATTGGTAAATTTCAATGGAATTATCATAATCCTAATGAAAACATACAATTACAATTGTTATTAATGGTATGGCCTCAATACTCCATAGGATCAACAATGGCAAGTTCAAATCTGGATGTAATTTGTAATTTTCATAACTCTGATTTAGACCAATATAACATTACAGACAATCATATTTTACAAAGGAAAAATGTGTCGAGTGCCTACTATAATACCAGGCAACGTGTTATGTACTGTTCAGTTCTCTGTGGTCAGTACACTACTGTGGTATAATAAATAATTTGTCTGATCTTTGTCCTGGGTTCCTGGCAAGGACTTCAACACCAGTGGAATTTCCTGAGTGACAGGAGTGTCTTTGTTATGGTAATGGGGAGAATCTGGGTGGGCCCCTAGATAGCTTCAGGATCTGGGCTGGTCACCAGATCACCAGAAAGACCAAGCATGTGATTAGAGAGTTTGGACTTTCAGTTCCCTGACCTCTGAGGATGGGAGGGGGCTGGAAATTGAGTTCATCATGTGGTCAATGATTTAATTAATCATGCCTATGTAATAAAACCCCACAAAAACTTGACACCAAAGCTGGGTGGTGCTTCCTCACTGGTGAACACATTGATGTGCCGGGAGGGTGATATGCCCTGATTTCATGAGGAGAGTGCACAGAAGTTCTGTATTGCTTCCCAGGCCTCACCCTATGTGTATTCTTTATAATAAAACCATAATCATAAGTATAGCGCCTTCCTGAGATCTGTGAGTCATTCTAGCAAATTACCCAACTTGAGGGGTCCATGGGAATCCCTGAATTTGTAGCCAGTCAATCAATCCCCAGGTGGCCTGGGGACTCCCTGAGACTTGTGGCTAGTGTCTGAAGTGAGGGACGTCTTGTGGAAGACTTTGCCCTTAAGCTTTGGGGTCTGTGCTAACTTCAGGTTGTTAGTGTTAGAAATTAACTGCAGTGCACTCAGTTGGAGTAAAAATGGAATAGTTGGTGTCAGGAAACTTGGGATTCAATAGACCAACCCTAATCCCCTGAAACATGTGGTTTGGGAAGAGAAAGGATGAAAGGGCAGGGGATGAGGAACCTTTGAGTCTTGAGATGCCACAGGGTCATCCATGGTACGAAACAGCAGCTAAGTTGTAATTGTAACCACAGGCCCTCTAAGACCAGTTCAACTGACCCCATCTTATCAACAGAGTAATTGAGAGTGGTTTTTCAGGAACTGAGAATCGACCCACTGTCCAGTTCAGGCCGGTTGAGACCACCAACCCATCAACTGGGCCTGTGTGAATGCCTGATAAGTGACCCTTTTGATGTCAGGGGGCCGAAAATTCCACCCTTAGATCATACTAACACCACCATTTTGTGAACATACGTCCTATGAAGAGCCATGGAGCTTGACTACACACGTGCAGATCATCAATTACCTCACTTCTCCTCACCTCCAATCATCTATCTCTACACTTCAAACAGCCTTGCCCTTTTATCCCATAAATTTTGCTGCATGCCCTGGATGGGGGAGACAGATTTGAAAGCTTTTGCCTTCTGTCACCTTGCAGGTCAACCTTGCAATAAAGCCTTTTCTCTTCTCAAAAGCTGCTGCTGTAATGACTGGCTTTTTTTTTTATGTGCAGCAGGCACAGAACCTCCTCTTTGTACAGTAACATAATCAGCTGATGAAGGTAAAAGCTACCTATGGAATTTTGAGATGATGGCTCTATCTCCCAGGACGGTGGCTCACTAGATGCATAAGAAAATGCAAAATAATAAGGAAAAAGAGAAATATGCAATCCTTTGGTTATTATTATCTGTAATATCTAAAATGAAAGTAAGAGATGGGACAAATATAGATTCTGGCCAGTCTGAATTACAGCCTCTAGTCTCAGGGCCCCTGCTGAAGGAATGTGTTAGAGAAGATCCTGATTCTGGTTGGCCTGAGGTACAGCCACTATCCTCAGAGCCATTTCTAAAGGAAAAAGTTACACTGAAACAAATCATGAAAAAGGCTAACATAATTCCCAAGAGAATGGGGATAGACAAAGGGGACCATCAAGGCACTCATCCCAGTAGGGTGGAAATCTTTAAGTGGTTACTAAGAAATGGGATGAATAAAGCAAACATGGATGAGGTAAAAGCACAGAGCTTGGGTGGACTGATGGAAGTCCCTGCTGGTTCCCCAATATTGGAGGGCTCTAAACAAATCTGCTTTACTCATCCTAGTTTGGAGGAATTTAGAAAGCTGCAAGGCAAAATAGCAAAGAGAAACCTCACCTCCAACTGCCTGGGGCTACAGTGCCCCAATTTAATCAAGATACAGATTGAGAAAAGGACCAGGATTCCCCGGCTCAACACCCTGCTGGGGACCCAAGGTCTCACGCACAGGAGTGGGCAAAAAGCCAGGGGGTGGAGAAGTTTCTAGGACTCAGTGACATGGGAGTCTCATGCACTACGGTACCAAAACCCATTGGTGAAACCCTAACGGAGGCTACAATTAATTTGAGGGAATACAGAAATCCAAGGGTTAATGCAAGTTGGAGTGTTGAAACAAGCTTTATGTGAAAAGACTGTCTCCACCTGAATGTTTTATGGGACAGGATATTATGTCTGACTGGGGAACACTTCCCCTAACTAGTATTGTAAAACTAAAACCTGTTGGCAAAGTCGTAATGGCAGCCAATTAGATTGAGAGGATAAAGAAATGCAAGAGTTGATGGGATGGGCCAGCCCCATGGCTTAGCGGTTAAGTGCGCACGCTCCGCTGCTGGCAGCCCGGGTTTGGATTCCAGGCACGCACCGACTCACCGCTTCTCCAGCCATGCTGAGGCCACATCCCACATACAGCAACTAGAACGATGTACAGCTATGACATACAACTACCTACTGGGGCTTTGGGGGAAAAAAATAAAAAAAAAAATAAAAGAGTTGATGGGATTAAGGTGAAAGTTTGAATGAAAATTGGTATGTTTAACAAGCTTTATGTGAAGTGGTTGTGTCTCTTTTACTTGAATGTATTATGACGATGGATATTGTGTCTAGCTCGGGAACGTTTCTCTTATCAAGTACTGTAAAACAGAAAGTATGAAAAATCTGTCCTTCAAACAATATTAATTGGACATGCAAAATAGGAACCAATGAGATTTCACAAACACACATAGGCCTTTAATATCAGACAGTATAGAATAAAGGCTGGAGTGCTGATACGGACAAATTCTCTGTAGAATAGTCTTGTGTGGAGTGTGGACTGCGGCTTACAGCAAAAGCCTGTGAGCACTTCCTAGTGACAACTACCGGAACTTTGGACAAGAGAATTTCCATTTGAGGGGCAATTACTAGCTTGTTATCAGCATTAATTGAAAATGCCCCTGTGACTGAAGGACATAAAATAATCTTGATGCCTGAATACCCATTACGTCTTGGGTGACGTCAGAGAAATGCTCTAATGAGGAAGGCAGTGCCCAGAAGAGTTCCCTAATAAAATGGAAACGGTGTGTGCTGGAACACCCTACCAGGGGAATGCACAGAGCTACACAGTGCGTTCAGGAGCAGGGAGACTCTTCTCCCCTACGACTGTCTTGGGAACCATGTGAGGAGCTGTAGGATTCTATCGTCACTTGGACGGTGCCCTGTACACAGCTCTCCGTGACCAACAAGTAGCTGCTTGGTTTACGGATGGCAGTTTCAACATGAACAGACAACATTCTGTTTGGAAGGCCACCACTCTGATCGAAAAAGGTGAAAACAAATCAGCCGGGGGAACTGCCCTGTACGCCGTTTACCCTATGTTTCTAATTTTACCTTCTCAGAGGCAGTGGCCAATGGCCTGGCCATAAGGTCAGGCAGAAGGGCAATGGAAGACCGGCCTATTAAAGGGAAGCCCTTACGGGGCACAGCCCTATCAACATCACAAACTCCCACACAGAGGACTCAGAACTGCTAGGGGGTACATCAACATCTGAGTACCCCAGGAGAGCGCATAACGAAGGGCGAGCCAGAAGCCCCCGTGCCAGGGACCCAGAGGGCAAAAGAGAGAGCGCCACCCCCAACAGGCCAGACACTGCAGCTCAGCCGACGAGACCAGACCAAGCGGCCGGCGGGTCGCAGCGAACAGCCGGGACAGAGCACAGGGGGCTCAGATTACACAGCCCTTAACCCCCACACGGTGGCGGTGGATGGAAATTACAACCAGGTATTTCCAGGATGAGGAAAAATAAAGCCAATACAGGAACCACAATGCAAAGGTACATGAAATCACCAG